ATTCCGTTTACAAGTGCTCAGCTACCACATGCAACAGCTGCAGTTAAAAACGCACACCTGCAGGCAAACTGCCAGAGCCATGCTTACAGCTGAGTGCCAATGTAGAGCTTGTTGCATCCGCTTACCATAAACTTGCAGAGGGCAAACAGCAAAATTTGAATGAAATTCCATTTGATATATAAGAAATAATTTCAAAATAATCTCTAGTTTAGACTAAAATATACGAAATGTTATTAGATAAGTGTAAGAATTGGGAAAACCTCCCAAATTAAATTTCATTCACTAAAAAACAAAGAAATTAAAGATTACTTTCTCACTCTTAAGCCCAATTTCAACAATAAACTGTTGGTTTATTTCTGTTCAAAAACTGACGACGGTTCAAGGCTAAAGACGTGGACAGCCGCTGTCAAAGCGGATAAAAGAGTAGCTGTTGCCATGCTGCTGCTATGAACTGTGCAACTAAAGGTTGAAAGATAAGCGAGCGAGCTCGCACTCAATTTAAATTTCATATTAAATTGATTAAATTTTATTCAGACACTCTACATACACAATATTTATAAAAAAATAAGTACACAAAATATAATTGCATGGCATACAAATGTTCAAATGTACAAATGTACGCCCTCCGGCTAATTGCTTTTCAAATTTATTAGAGGAAATGCCTCCAGGTTTGATTGTTGTTGATGTTCCATTACGCGCATTTTGTTTTGCATCCAGCCCCAATTGCCTGGGGCCTTTCCGCCTGATTTTTTTTAACTGTCAATTTAATTTGTCATGTAATTGCCAGTGTATTTTTGGCCCAATTCGTCTTAAAATATCAAATTTATTATTTTTTGTATTTTACATTGCGTTCACACCAGGCAACATGTTGATAACAAATGTAAACATGGCTGGGCATACGCGCTCTCTCTCTCTCTCTCTCTTTTATTTCATCTCAAACACACATATTCGTTCCGTCTGATACAGCCTGAAAAAAATGTTCGTATAAATTTGCCATGAGCAATAAACAACAGATTAAATCGAAACAGCTGAAATATATATTTAAATACATTTTATTCTCATTGCTTTTCAGTTGCTATTCATGCATTCACTTATATTGTACACAAATTACACAGACAGATTAGTTAGAATATAGTGCAGAGTGTATCTTTTTCATGTTTGCAGCTTTTAAAATTAATTATCAAATGCATTAAACAGTTTTTACATCTAGAGTACATACGTATATATTAAAGATGCACCTGTGAAGGAATACATCTTTGGGTATTGTTCTCATGTTTTAATTGAATGCTTCTTATATACTTATCCAATCATGGTTTCTTCATTACGTTAACGCTTTTAATACAAGGCAAAATGCACGAAACTTTCTTAAAGTTTATCATCGATCTATTCATCTTAAGAACATTTTGAAAATTTATGTTATACATATCCAATGGCATTTGAAACTGACTGAGTTTGGTGGTACAAATGACTGACTGACTAACTGATTGATTGATTGACTGACTGACTGTTCGACGGCTGACTGGCTTCAATATATAGCAACAAAGGCGTGACTTGCTTATTGTTAACACACATTCCATTTATATATAGTATCAAAAATACTTTATATGACTTCATTTACAAATTTTAAAAAATATTTTAGGTAATACCGTTAACAAAAATACTTGACAAATAGGAATTTCGCTTTTCATTTCTCGACAAATTCACAAAAATAGTTTACATTAATTTGGAACCACAAATTAGGTGACTTGTATTCATATATATATATGTGGATTTGTGTGTGTGTGTTGGTGTGTGTGATTTAGTGTCTGTGCGAAGTTGTTTGCGTGGGTGGTGTGTCTTATGCCCAGTCCTTCTTGATCTCAAAGGTCCAATCCCATTTAAGATGTATGTGCTTGTCATCATCCGTAAATACCGATGAAACAGAGTATGTACCCCTCGATACCATGCCCGAGGGCGCCTCCTCAGCTGGGGTCAAATAGAATTGGATTTCCTTTTTAGGGGGATAAGAGCCAACCATATGCGTCATTTTATCCACTGCGATAAAAAAGACAATTGTATTATAAAATATAGTTATAAACGATAAGCAACGAAGCAGGCTTACCGACAACTTAAAGCAATAAAAATTAATTATCCAGAATGTGTTAGGCGTTAAAGATATAAACATATATCACACTTAATATTGTCTTAGCACATTATTAAAGTGAATATAGCAAATGTTATTAGCACTATATAAACTACACTAAATATCCCGCAGAGCAAAGCTGTGCCATCGAAACTGCTGCCCATTTTTACAAAATAGCAATGTCTTGCTTGAAGGTATAAAACATACTAACTATCTACCTAACTAGCTAAAGCAAGCCATACCTAGGTAACAATTAAAAGCCCTAAAAGTGCATTCGCCAAGGCCAAGCGACATTGGTCAAGCGTAACAGAGGCCTGATTAAACATATTCTTAACTTTTTAAGTTCCATATATATAAAACATGTTTATTTTCAAACAGAAATATTTATGGACAGACGAATGCATAATTCCAGATTTCTAATTTGCCAATTTCAAAGCAGTTCTTTAAATATTATTCGAAATCAGTAAGTGAATGATATGCTTACCAGGTACTCCCATTCGATAGGTCTTTTGCACATACTTAAGGCCATGCACAATTTCACGTTGCACTATAAAATCGATGCGCACCTTATATTGAACACCTTCCTTAATCACAAAGAGCTAAGGAGAAAGTCCAGCAATCAGTTAAGTCTGCATATGGTCGCTTTATACTAACTCACCTGCTTTTTCAGGTGACTAATATCTCCACTCAAATCCAATTCCATATCATCACGTCCATCAACGACGAGAGCCAGTTTCTTAACAATCACTTTTCGAGTATCATTGGGATCTTTTTATATAAGTTAAAAAATAATGGTTTTAATATACTTTTATCAATATTTGTTTTTTTTTTTTGGTTCTATATTTACCAACGATTATAGTTTCGGCTTGAGCCGCGCCTAGCAAAGCTTCCTTATAGCGACGCAAGCTTTCATCTTCCTGATCGGCAGCCATTATCTCTTCAATTGTCTTCTCGGGTGGAGCCTGATAGTTGGCATCGTGCACATCCTCATCATGTGGCTCGGCATGCTGGTGCGTCTCTGTTTCCGCCATGGCAATCTAACTGAAAATATTTATGAATAATAACAATATTTTTGAAACCACCTTCATATAAATGCAAATCGTGTAGAATTTGTATTATGCGGGCGATAATGTAATAATTACTATGCACATGCATCAATGTATGTATGTATTATATGTATAAAGATTTATTTTCATAGCTAGATTGCGAGTTTGAAAACAGAATTGCAGCTTACTTGCTGTTGCCCATCTCATCACTCAACTGCTCTAAATATCATTTGTATATATACTCCTAATACGCAAAACTTTGTTTTCTGTCTTAACGTTCAATAATATTGATTAAAATCGAATTATTAACGCATAAGTGAACGCTGCTTGCCCACAGAAAGAAAGCTGGCCAACACATGCATGCAGCTGAGCTCGTATGCATACATAAATACACACACATTTATAAACAAATACCCATATACATAAATATATATAGACCTGGCCGAATACGGACCCGCATGGGCCGATAAGGCAAAAAACATATACATAGCGATAGAGCGAAAAGGCATGAGGAGAGGGTGCTCGACCGGCATTGAATAATATTGACCAGAATGGGTTGGCTGCTATCGGCCCCCACACGCATACACACACACGCACACTTACTCACACATACATTTAACATTCCTTCTTTTTTATTTTGTTATCTGGTTTTTGTTGTTGTCGTTGTTAATTATCTAAATACACGTTGCTTAGCTTTATACCCATTTCCTTTTTTGTAAAACATTTACTTTGTTCGATTTCAATTACAATTTACTTGAATGTTTTAATATACTAATTTAAATATAGTTGTTGACTTATTGTGGGCATAATAATAATAATTGTTATTCTGACGCATGGGCAGCGACAAACGAGATAATAAAATTGAATTTTTTACAGTATTGTATATTTTTCTTTCAGACTAAGTATATATATGTATATATTACTCAAATAAAGCAACAAAAAGTACGAGAAAAATACGAATTCTTAGAAAAAAACGTTTTTGGCAACACATATTCCAGTTTGCCATTGTATTTGAATTGGAATTACGAAACGAAAATTAATTAAGTGTGAATGCAAAATAAGCAGGCAGAAGGCGAAGCGAAATAAGAACATTTATAAGCAACCAAACCATCAAAAGAAACCAAATTTCAAACACACACAAATCCAGACAAGCAATTGATGGAACAGCAGCAGTGGAGAAAAAATAGCTTAGACGACCCCCCGTCAAACTGTGAGCAATGTCGATCAAGGGAATTTTGTTCAAGGAAATTAACGAAGCGATGACGCTGCTGCTTAGGCTACCGCAGCCGCAGCCTTAGCCTGATAAAAAAATGCACGGCACGCAGCGGCAGAAACCCAGACGCATGAATCACACACATTAACACAAGCATACATCCGCACACACACGCATTGCGGCCGGTGTTCTCTGATTGTTGGCCAGCGAAATATTTTCGGGAGTGGCGTAGCTATGGCTAGCAGATAAGCATTTGATTCAACATTTTTAACTTAATATTGTTATTTTGCTAATACACAAATATAAAATCACATATATACATTCTTAATTAAACCTCACCTCTCTATTCTTCGAATATAAGTTTTAAAATTGGAATACGCAAGTATTTTACCACAATATATTTATAATACAAATAAATTTAATACTTTAATATAAACAAGAAAAACAACAAAAAACGCGCAGCAAAAGGTGCAAGCTGTGGCAATCTATTAGAGATGAGTGATGGCCTTTTCTACTCGATACTTGGCAAATATATACAAACTTATCGACTTAAATAATCGAATCTCACATTTCAAGTAACTAATAAATATCAACCTGCTTACAGTTATAAGTATTGTAAATATTAAAAATTTTTTAAGTTTAAAAAAAGATAAATCTGGCCCAAATTAGTTGAAATGCTCATTTAGATTAGGAAATACGACATAAGTGAAAATGTAAGAGAATTAATAATTTTTAAGTTAGCAGGTATTTGTAGTGATGTGTTTTAAAGTATTCGTGAATGTAACTAACCAAGTCGGCAACAGCTGTGGATTACTTCATCACTGCATTAAGAGCTAAATAATAAACAACAGAAAATGCAAAGTTCCCAATACTTAAATCAACTACACACCGCCGACAAACTGTCTGAAGAACCGTGGCCAGAAGATGCGACGCTCTATCAGGTAAAAAGAAGGCAGCAAAATAATATTCAATATTTACGTATGCTTTTTATTCCTTGTCAGCCCTTTGAAGCAGAACAAATTTTATTACCAGAGAACGCTAGCTGCCTGGCTGTGAAGGCATATTTGAAGATGTGTAATTTGCCGTTCGGGATACGCTCTTGCGCAAATGCGGAGCACATGTCACCCGGCGGACGAATGACCAAGTTACCATTCATCCGCGCAGGTGCTTTCTTATTTGCAGAGTTCGAGCCAATAGTGAATTTTGTGGAACAAAAAGATATGGCCATAGGCAGCTGGCAGGATGAGGACGAAAAAGCAGACATGCGTACATATGTCTCGCTCGTAGAGAACATCTTCACAATGGCGGAGCTGTATGTAAGCTTTAAAAACGAACGAGTCTACAATGAGGTGACTGCACCTCGTAATGGAGTCGTTTATCCTTGGCCATTGAATTTAATACAAAACTATAGCAAACGCCGTAATGCGCTAAGGCAACTGAAGGTCTATCAGTGGCACGATCTGAATATCGATCATGTCATCGAAAAGGTGGCCAAATGTTGTGAGACACTCGAATATAAACTGAAAGAATCACCAGATACACCTTTCTTCTTTGGTGATCAGCCGTGTGAATTGGATGCCATTGCCTTTGGTCATTTGTTTACAATTTTAACAACACGATTGCCAAATATGGCGCTGGCACAAACTGTACAAAAATTTGGTCACCTGGTGGAATTTTGTCGCTTCATCGATGAGAAATACTTTCAAATGAGGTGCTTGCAAGAATAGCTATTAAATGTTGTACACTTTCAATATTTTGTACACATAAATGGCATATATGGAAAAAATCATATTTCTTTAAGTTCCGTTTATTTGTAGCTCGCATTTATGCACACCGCTTAAAACATTTAACAAGTTTTATACAATATAATTAACTACCTTATTACCGTTCGTTTTTAATTTGTCTCACGGCTTCGCTTCAACAAAACCTTAAATACTTTTTTAACTTGACTTAATAACTCAATGTTTTTTTTTTCAGAAAATAAATTCCTTATAGCTGGGCGCAAAAAATATTTGTTTTTTTTTCAACAAAATCCGAATTATTGGTTATAAGAATTGTTATTTACTTTTTATAATAAATGTTAACTAAATATTAATGTTAATTTAACCGAGGTTAATTTCAATATTTACATCGCCGGAATTATTTGCCTTACTTTTAGAAATGTCAAGATTAGCAGATTTTACTATAGCTTAAGAGCGTTACTCAACACTTATGTAACGGTGTTCTTATATCGATAAGTTAAATCTAGGAGCTTATCGCAAATTTTCAATACAAGTCACGACGTCTAAAATAAGATTCAATTTGCATTTACATGTTCTTAATTAAAACTACTGACTAAGGGCGCGTATCTGCAGAATTGTCCATCCCTTTATTGATGATAGCAGTGAAATACGCAGCCAATTGAGGAATACTGAATGCTCGCAATTTTTTCAACTCGCCTTTTTTACATTTTTTATGGGTCAAATGGGTCAACCTGTAACTGGAAACTAATACAGTCATAAAATAACTAGCGATTCAACATTTGCTAACTTAATTATTATAAACAGGCGCTGCAAACTTCCAAATTTCTTCAAAAACAATTACGTTATCATCATTATTCATTGTTCTCAGAACAGATGTCAATCTGAATTTTTCTTTTAATTTCTTATCCTTTATTTGAAATTATGCAAGCCACTCATTAGGGTAGAAAGAAGTAAGCTTCGTTTTCCTATTGGATGCATATCTTGATTGGGAGTTCTTTTTAAATTTTCTTATTCGAATTATTCTTCTTTCTTATTTACCTTTAAGTCAATTGATTGTTCCGGTGAGCTCTCATCGCGTGAAACGTTTCAGACATAAATGAATAACAAATTTGAGTGCACTGTAAAAATATATATGCAACATTTTATTCAGCGTAGCTTAAAAATATTTTTGTTTATTAATTTCCTAAATGGTTTAATTTTTTGCATTTCGCCTTTATATAAACTTTGTCAGCGCTAATTTACATTTTATAAATATTGAATTCGTATGGAATTCAATAGAATTGCATACATAAATTCATTTTGCAATGTACATGATGTGTTTTTAAAATAGAATCATATGTAATTATTACAATTGTTTAAATGGAAATATATGCATAGCAATTGTTAAGTATCTTCAATCAAATATATTTAAAATTATGTATATATATATGTATATATATATAAATATATTTATCGTTGGATTTAATATTTATTTGGTACCTCAACTTTAAAAATGATTTCTTTGTTTTTTATTTTATTTTTTTTTTTTGTTGAAATTATGTTTTTCCCGTACTGAACACATTACAAATGTCCAAAAAGCTAAACGGTATAAAATTAACACAACACAATAATAATAATAATAATAATAATCGTAATTATAATAAGAAATGAATCAATTTTTTATAAACTGTATGGGGAGGATATCGAAAATCAAAATTTAATAAAAAACTTAAAAAACCAAAGCACAAAATCTAACGAAACGCCATCGTCCTCGATTGCCTCCAATTCGTCCCATTTCCAAGCAGTTGGTTTTTTCAGTTGCAGCAGCAGCAGCACCGGCGCTTGCGTCAGCGCCTTTCGTACTTGGTCACTGGCACAGACAGACGAGTGCGCAGTCCATGGGACTGGGCTGCGGTGCTGCTGTTTGATCTGCTGCGCTCCATTGCGGAACGACGTCGCTTGTTGTTGATGCTGGTGCTATTTGCTGGCAGTGAAAGATTATTGCTTTTATTGCGCGTCGATGATCCGTTACTAGTGGCGTTGCCGTCGCTATAGCGCTGCCTTTTGCTGATCACAGCAGTATCTGTGTGTGTGTGTGTGTGTGTGTGTATGTAAGAGAAAGTGTGTGTAAAATAGTTGGTAATATGAATGGAGAAGTTAAATGCGATTTACGAATTACATTTGCTAGCTTAATTATCTTTAACGGGGACAGTAGAACTCCCAGTTACATCAACATCAACATCATTAACATCATCATCAACATCAACATCACCATCATCATCATCAACATCATCATCAATATGATTAACTGCAGCTGCATCAACATCATTAACACCATTCCCATTGCCATTCTCATTGTCATTGCCATTGTCATTGTCATTGTCATTGTCAGCAGCTAATACCTGAGGCACATCCATAGCGGCCAGTTCTTCCAACTGTTCCACATCAGCCATTTCTGCTGTTAGCCAAAGCACATTGTAAAACAAATGTAAATCCGAAACAAACAAAAGATGGAAAACAAAGAGAAAGAGAGAAAAAAAGCATTGGGCAATTTGCCATAATAATAAATTTTGATACAAATTTTGAATAATTTTTTTTTTGGTTTTTTTTTTTTCTTTTTTACTGTTCATTTGGCGTTATCAATGAGAACTTCCCATGGATATGACGATGACGTTGGCACAGTGATCCCTAAGATATTAGTATGTATGCATATAAAGGAATGGTTAGGCGTCGGCTAAGGAAATGCATGTAACTAACCAACTAACAAAACTCACTTAGAAAATGTGTTATTTAAAAGAATATTACAATTGAAAAGGTGTACAGTCATTTTTAAAGAAGAACGAAAGATAGAAGTAGTGCAAACCAAAATAAAATGAACGATGTGGTAAAGGAATACATTATATACACAGTTTTATGATTTGGGAAAATAAAAGAATTATTAATTGAATTCAATTTCCACAAAACTATTTGTCAAATACTAATGCTATGAGTATGATGAAGCAGAATGGTGTGAATATGATGAATAATGAATGTCAGGTGATTGAAATGTTGTTAGGCCCAGAACGGCGTTCACTTACCTTTAGCGGTAAGTTTGCGCTTGGCTAGGGAGTTGGCAGTTCTGCCGTCGGGAGCACTGAGTCGTCCGCCGTTGGCGTTGCGCTTGAGACCCGGATCGGAACGGCGTTCGCGTGTACTGGCCAAATTGGCAGTGATTGGTTGATCAGCACTCTTCTTGGCCACATTCTTGCTGCTGTTTCCGCCATTTGCCGCCGAGCTATCTTGACCGTCAAGCGCTGCTGCAGCAGCCGCCGCGGCGGCATTAGCTCGCTTAAGATTGGCTGGCATGCGCTTGGGTGGTTGCATGGCGCTGGCAGTATTGCCCGATGAGGTAGTTGCTATATCATTGGAGCTCGTCGCTGGTTTCTGTGGCGACCTTTGCTTAAGATCGTCCTGCTTCTTATGCATGCCCACGTCCAACCAGTATTTCAGTTGCGCCTCGCGCTGTCTCTGCATAAGCTCCTGGCCGGCAGCATATTTGCTAAGCATACCCTGTAGCTTCTGCACAGTCTTGTAAACTGTCTCTGCCGCAATCAAGCCATAATCGAACAGCGAGCACATGTGTAGTATAAAATTGCGATAGAGATTCTTACGTACAATCTCATGGCCTTTAGCATCCAGAAACATTTCGCACGCCAATGGCAGCTGGCAGTCACCTACAAAGCCATGGCGCATCACATGCAAATTCCACAGCTTCATGAGCTCCTTCTCGCCTTCATTTACATCGGAGAACTCATCAATCATTTGTATGGTCTTTTGGCGCAGCCAAAGTGGATCGCTCTCGCCTTCCGAATCAATGTCCAGCTCTTTGGGATGCACCGGCAGGCAGGTCTCCGTATGATGATACAATCTATGGTAATTAAATATCAATTTTAACCCTAATTATGAATTTGAGTTAAGTGCTCACCTATTGTGTCCGGTTATGTATGAACGCTGATTGCTAATGTCATCCTCATCCAACTCTAGGAATTCATCGAGGCAGGTCTTCTGGCGTCTGGGCCTACATACCATCAAGCTAGTGACTGAGGTGCGTCTTACCGGACCGCAGGTGCGTGCGAACGAAGAACCCGATGGTCCCGCCAAATCATAGGGTGACCCTGCATAGGACCCATCGTAGGCGTCATTGATTGTCACATCGATACGGGCACCGCTGCCCGCTGGTTGGTACGTAAAATTGAAGCGTGCGTGGCACAACTTAAGATGCTTTAATAGCGCATACAGGCGAAGGCAGTCTAACCCACACCATGGGCAGTTTAACTCCTGTGTGTATTCCGTCTGTTGGCGCGTATTATTGCTGTACATAAAATTGTATACGATTTGTATGAGCTCCGGCACTGCCTTGCAGATGGTGCCATTCTTAAGGCCGCTACAATTGTTATTGTTATTATTATTGTTATTGTTATTGTTAATATTGATGTGACTAAGATCTGCCTCAGTATCCAAATGCTGTACATAACGTTGTATCTCGGGTGCTGCTATAATGTCAGGCAACTGCTCATTGGACAAAGTCAAATGGAATTTGAGCATAGGACTCTGCTGGTATACATCGTAGGTCAATGAAAGTGGAATGTAGCTGTCGGGCATTGTCTCCCAGGTGCATTTCTTTGGTGAGAACGATTTAATGCTAGACGAATTCAACGGTTGCAGCATTGCCTCGTATTCGCCCTCAGTGATAAAACCACTCGACTTTTCATACAGTATCAACTCCGAGCCATACATCTTCTCATTGGTACGGGATCGTTTGTTTGGCGGCGTTGCTGTAGGAAAGTAAATTACATAAATAAATTACATATAGCTAAGCTCCTTCGCACTATCTCACCTGCATTTTCATCGTTGCACGTCTGCGGCTGCATCTTTATGCGAAAGAGCAGCTTGTAGAGCGTATGCTGATCACCCATGGGTCGCATTGTCTGCAGAGGTATGCTAATGGTGGCATGCTCATCGATGCCCTCATTTGGATTGTAAACTATTTGGCAGCTCTTGCTCAACAGCTCCTGAAAATCCAGTGTGCTGTCCTTACGTTTGCTACGCGTTATCTTATAGAGTGTGGTCTCCACACAGACCCTTTCGCCCGCCTGACAAAGTAGTTGATCCTGCCCCTGCCTTAGCAGTTCATCGCTGTCTTGCGGCTTGAGCTTCTCATGTAGTGAATCATAGATTACATGCAGGTAGTTTTGGGTTACAGCCTCAGACTTTTGTGTGATTATGTCCAAAATGGAGTCGATCTTGAAATTTGCACGTTTCTTATTATTCCGTGACATGCGCTCCTTCATATAGCTAAGTGTACGATTTAGAAATATGGGCTGCAGAATAAGAAAGAATATACCTTTAAATTTGTTTACAAAAATAAACAATTAGCTTACGTTTGTCTCATGCCGATTACGTAGGTAGCGATAGATTTGCGTGGGTTCTGCAAAAGTTTATTGATTATTAACAGTGCAGCTGAGATATTGAAAAACTTGTTAACATACTTTCAAATGCCTGTAAAAAGAGTTCCTGCTCTTGTTGATGTCCATTCAGTTTCCCATGAGTTTCACTGTTATTTGTTGTTGATAAATTTGCGGCTGCTGCCGCTGCCGACGCTGGCGCTGCCAACGCTTCGTTTGTGGCAGCATCTGCATGTCTACTTCCATTGTTTAGGCCATTTATGTTGTTTGCCACAACACCCGCATTATCGCCATTATCCCTTTCACGTTTCTTAGTGGGTGCCATTGTTTTGAGAGGGAGGCGGAGGGAGCTAGATATACCTCTGCCGTTTTACAAACGCACCGCCGCTTGCTCACACACGCACTTACACACTTTGCCCTGAGGCTTGCTGTAGCGTTGCTGCACTTTCAGCAAACACAAACTATTGCATTTGTTTGTTAAAACATTTTTATGTTTTGTTAGGTACGTGAATTTTTGTTTGTGTCGCTTTTTTCCGTAACTTCTTGCGTGTTCTCGCCTTTTTCTTTTTCGGCGCGAAACCGTATGCTTTGTGCAGCGTTTCTGGTGTTATTATAGAAGCCCTGTCACGATACAACTGAATGATGTGTGCTAATAAATGTAATATTTGACAATACTAGTAACAGATCAATAAGTTGACACATTTAACTCTCAATACAATTATTTTATATTTATTTATTTCCCAAAATAAAATGTTAATTAACTAGAAGTATATTATTTATTTAGCACAATATATAAATCGTATCGTGCAAAGGGTCTTTTAAGTTAAACACACCCCCGCGGCGTTTTACAGCATTGTATTTGTCTGCCTTTATTTCAGCAATTATTTATTTAGTTCCTTTTACTGAAGAGAATAATATGAAATTTCTTAATATCATACAATGACTAATTATTTCAAATTTATTAATTAAATTTCAATTTGTAATGCTTGAAAATAATGATAGAATTTACTGTCAGCTGTTTTCCAGTGTTGTATTTCGATGACTGGCAACGCTAAATTTTAACAGAAAAGCGTGCGCTGTTGCTTTCCAGGTTGTGGCAGTCTACAAAATTATATTCATCTCTTTTAAAGAAAAAAGGTAAATAGTAATATTTTATATAGCCGGGACTATATTTGTATTTAATGGAAATGCAAAAAATACCAACCAAAAATTAAGTAGACGGAGCTATAACTTAACGTCAATTGATACTCAGGCACGCATACACCCAAGTGTGGGCAATGTCTGCTTAATTTTGTTAAACAAATTATTTTACAGGTCAAAGCCGGCAACTGTTTTAAATCTTGAAGAATTCTCAGAAATCCTAAACATTTATTGCACAAAATGGATAAAAATAGCGCTGCCTTGTATAAAAAAATGCAAGCCGAGGTTGAGTCATATCAAAACCTTCAAAAATGTAAACTAATTACAATTATTTTCTGCAGTCTTCACATATATTAACATTTTTCATTTACAGCTTGCGTTAAGGTAGTAAAGCAGCGGGCACTTCTAGAGAGTCAGTTGAACGAAAATAAGTGTGTGCTAGACGAATTAAATTTGCTTGGCCCCGACAACAAAGTTTTTAAGCTGCTTGGTCCTGTTCTAGTAAAACAAGAACTGGAGGACTCTCGGCAAAACGTTGGCAAACGCATTGAATACATATCCAAAGAATTAAAAAGTTCCACGGACACTTTGGAGAATATGTACGTTAAATGATTTACTTTACTATTGAAATATATTAATTTTTTTACTTTGCAGGGAAAAGGATATGCTGAAACATCGGGAGGCTGTCTCTAAATACCAGCAGCAATGGCAAGTCGCTGCAGCCATGAAATAATACGGACTCCTTTAATTATTATTTATTACATTCTGTCATTTTAAATAGACATACGCATTGAATTAAAATCAAATAAAAACTATTGAACTCAATTATTTGTTAAAGAAGGAATTAAGTCTTATGTTAGTGTATTTACCTTTCATAGGTTTAATCTATTTATTTATTTCCGATTAGCTCCTCTGTTAATGCCGTAGAGATCAAATCGAATTTCGATAACACTTATAACATTAGTCTCGCATCCCTGGTCGGTGTGCGAGCGAGATGCATTAACCGAGAGCATTTAAAACACTGAAATTTGTACCACAAAAATTGCCACGAAGAACAGAACTCTTTTTAGTGCCGCATCAAAATTAAACGATTGAAGCTGTATTGTCAGCAAATTAAGTCACTAACATATTTGTTGCTTAAAGCGATAAAACAATGGGATCAAGTCACAGCGTTCACGTACCCGGCGGCGGCACTGAAGGTAATAAAACACAACCACGTAAACTGTGTCAATTACAGTAGAAGAATTGACAACCAATCATATGCATACACGCACACACTGACGTGAATGAAAAATAAACATAATTTTGTATATTGTACAATAATAGGCTACCACGTACTCAAGGTGCAAGACAACTCGCCCGGCCAAAAGGCTGGCTTGGAAGCATTCTTTGACTTTATAGTAGCCATAGCAGGCACACGTCTAGATCAGGACAATGATATGCTAAAGGAGCTGCTACGTCAGAATGTCGATAAACCTGTTCGCATCACCGTCTATTCGAGCAAAACACAAACCGTGCGCGAGCTGACATTGACACCCAACAACAGCTGGGGCGGCCAAGGACTGTTGGGTGTTAGCATACGCTTCTGCTCCTTCGAGGGTGCCAATGAGAGTGTGTGGCACATTCTGGAGGTGCATCCCAATTCACCGGCCGAGCTGGCGGGTTTGCGAGCCTACAGCGATTATGTAATCGGGGCTGATGCCATTCGCCATGAGAACGATGATCTATTCACTCTGATCGAGACGCATGAGCAGCAGCCGCTCAAGATGTACGTCTACAATCTAGACGATGATGCTTGCAGAGAGGTTACCATTAAGCCGAACACTGCTTGGGGCGGCGAGGGAGCTCTGGGCTGTGGCATTGGGTATGGCTATCTGCATCGTATACCAGTGCAGCCTGCACCTACACCGACTCCTTCCACGGGACCTGTTGCAGCGACACCCAGTGGCCAACCTAATCCTGTTGCGCCGCCTGTTGTAGCTACCAGTGGTGTTGTTGCACCAACGTTGCCTTATATACCGCCACTGGCAAACACATTTGGCTCAACCAACTCTGAGATACGGCCACCAACAATTGAACCCCCGGCACAGAGCGTATTCAAGACCTATTTCAACCCGGATGATGGAACGGATGCATTGAGCGCGGCACTTGAGAATCAAGCTAAGATTGCTGAACCCCAGGTGGCCAATCCAGCTAGCAACATAGCACCGCCAGCAGTTCCAGCTCCAGTTGCTGTTGCTGAAGTCCCTGCAGCGCCACAGCAACCACAACCCCAACCACAACCACAACCACTTGCACCGCCAGCGAACATCTACATACCCGGTGTTTTCGATCCCAATAACCCACAACAAAGTACGAATGTTAGCGTTGGCGGTATCCCAGCCGCTCAATTGCCATTCCCACAAGCAACTGCAGCAACACTACCACCACCAGCCGTGCCCATGTTCTCAATGGCAGGATTGCCGCAGCAACATCAACAGCAGATCTATATGACTGCACCGGCAGCTCTATCGTATCCAGCTGCTGGGGCTGCTGCCCAAACTGTGCCCACGTATCCTCAGGTGCAGCCGTCAATGGGCGGTCTGTTTCCTACTCAGCCAACACCGCTGCCGCCGCAGATGGCGCATGCATTTGCGCCGCAGCCGCAGCCACCGCCGCAGCAGCTGCAGCCTCCGCAACCACCAGCAGCCAGCACTGAACAAACGCAACTAGGACCACCACAAGCAGCAGTTGCGCCACCACCTGCGATGTCAAGTGCTTAGGCTCCACTCATGAGACAACTACGTTAACCAATTTTAACTTCTGTACGTTGTTAGCGACTTTACATAAATTGTCGTTAAGTTTAATAATGTGATTTGTTTTTATGATTCTTATTGCGATGAACCGAAATCACAAGTGACAACTGTCAAACATTTCAGTGCAAAATGCATAAATATAAAACGATACATTTACATTTATTATTATAAAACATATATTTATATATGTACGCATACTATATATATATATATATATATATATTTGCAAAGTACTGTAACATATAATTAAACTTTGTATGTAGAGAAAAATGCGCACTGCGAGCTACATCAAGGATTAGTAAACAATTTTATTACTTGTGCAATGTTTAATGATGTTTTTATTCCTTATAAGATTTATGCCTTATACTAGATTTACTTTATATATTATATAGCCCAAGCAATCACGTACAGGATTTGATAATTTTTTTGTAATTGGGTTTCTCATTTGAATATTAAATTTAGCATTTCAAGATTAAAAGCTTAAATATTATGGATTATCACTTATATAATGGTATTTGTATAAGTATTGAGAATCGACTGATTAAATGGGATATTAGAATTTCAAAGGTCAAAGTTATGGTTCCCGTTACGAATTCTTTGTCTATTAGTTTACAAGGGTGACGGTTACGGCTTGATGCCTTTAAGTCAAAAAGATTTCTACCTGCAAGCTTAGAATTTGTGACTCAATCCACTTGTTGCTTTATTGACGCACAGTCCTCAAAGCGAAATGAAGTTCTGTTTATTAATTGCAGTAGCTGGATTCTATGTGGCAGCTGCTGTTTCTCCGGCGGATGTAAGTTCCAATAAAATAGGGCAAGGATTTAAATGAATAATTCAATAAATGTTATACAGAATCCACTGATAATCACCTCACAGTTGGTGCAAGTCGAACGCCTGAATGGGAAGCTGCAGGAAAAAATAGACGAGTTGACAGTAAAGTTAGCTGAGAATCAGTTTAAGGAAAAGCAAATTCAGGTGCTCAAGTATACAAAAGGATTACTTGAGAACAAGTGCGGCACAGATGGGAATGTTGAAGCAAGCAATGGATTAACCGATGAACTAGTAAATAAAGTGGCGCAGCTAAGGTCCATCATTCTGAGCTTAAAGGAAAATATACAATTAAGTCAAAACACGCAGCTAAAATTATTGAATCAATTGCAAAACAAGTGCGACGGCCATACGATCCAGAATTCTGGACCCATAATCGGGTCCATTAGCAATGGAATGAACGACTTCATAGCACGTTCAAGCAACTGTTTACCAATGGGACAACAGACAACTATTGCGACAATCGAAATACCGCGCATTGGGCCAACTTCCGTTCTGTGCGATGGACGTACAGCGGGTCCTGGATGGCTGGTGATACAGCGACGCTTCGATGGTTCCCCGGACTTTTATAGAAGTTGGGCTGAGTATCGTAATGGTTTTGGTCAACTGGGTGGCGATTACTTTATCGGCCTGGAAACTCTCTATCGCCTAACCAGCTCTGAGCCCCATGAACTGTATATACACTTAGAAAACTTTAATGGCATGAAGTCCTATGCTCGATATAGTAACTTTCAAATTGGCGGCGAAGATACGAAATATGAGTTGAGAATGCTGGGCGCATTCAGTGGCACTGCGGGCGACAGACTCTCTGGCAGTTTGTATTCCAAGTTTTCAACCTACGATCAGGACAACAACCAAGGGGGGTATTACAATACCGCTGTCAGTTATCATGGAGGCTGGTGGTATTTCAAAAACATGGCTGAGGGCTGGTAAGTCAGCATATATTATTAGTAATAGTTCAAAAACTAATAATTTCCATGATATTCAGCAATCTCAATGGTAGATATTTCAACTATGAAACCGCAAACATACAAGCCATGAGCTGGAAGGATAATCTGTCCCTAAAATCCGTGACAATGCTAATACGTCCACAACGTGCAATGTATCAGAACTAAAAACAGTTCTAAGAATTGTTAAGCAAATAAATTTTCGCAAACGTTATATAAATGATTTTAAATGTATCAATTACTTAAAATATTTAACATTTACGCAAGCTGATTGATAGCTAGGGTATATTGTTGCTTGCTTAATAAGATTTAAGCGCTTCAGTGAAACGAAAATGCTTATAAATTTCAATTTAAATTTGTTTGTTCCGGTAGAAACTAAATACCTGCCTACAGCGTATTTGTATTTATCTCATATATATGTATATATCTATACGATCAGATGGTTCTCAACATTATTATTTAACAATAAAAATTATCAATATTTATATATTTAAGTTTTTATTTATTATTGTATGCAATTTGCGTTCATTTGCCAATAAAGAGACGACCATTTTTAGGGAGTTAGGTTTAATTTTGGACTTTTCTTATATGGGCGATATTTGACATTAATTAGACGTGAAACTACTTGACAAAATTAGGATTCTTCTTCAATATTACAAATCCTTCCATGACGGGTGTTAGCGAGATATACTCATCGGTGGCCAATTCGGCGCGTTCGCCAATTGCCAGCAGCACGGGCGTGGTGTGTGTTTGGAAGCCGGTTATGGTCTTCGGTTTACCCGCCTGGCCAACCACATCGATGGCAATGCCCACACGGACCGGCACCTGCAGCTGATTGAGCTCCTCGTCGAAGGTGATGAGCATGCGTGCCTGCATGGCCGGTACCAGGGTGTACAACAGATAATGGGAACGATTGAGGATAAGATTCTTGACATCAAGAAGCGATACCAAAGTGGCCATCAAGCCAGCAACACCCATCGGATTCATTAACTGGCGATCACTGTGATACGGGCTAAGAGAGAGTGTACCCTTGCCCAAATGCGTCAAACTCTGAGCAATGCGCACCATGAACAAATTGCTCGGATCCTTTGAGTGGTACTGAGCCAGTTGACGAAGCATCGAGGCGAGACGTGCATTATTGGTGCCAGCACCCACCAGTCCCATGGCAAAGATGGCATTGTGTGCCACCTCTGCATCGCTGTCGTGTGAGAACTTGCTCAACGTATCGAGGATATTCAACTTAGGGTTGGAGGCAGATATCAGACCCAGAGCGAGGGGAACTGCACGTCGAATAGAGGGTTCGCAATAGCGCAACAGATTGCCAAACGAGCGATACGCCATCTCGGCACCAATGTCCTCACCCATGGCAATCAGAGCAATGCCCAACACAGCAATCGATTGTGTAGCCGACAGATCTTTTTCGCGCTCCTTTTCCTTCTCCTTCTCCTTGTCCTTATCCTTCTCCTGCAATAAAAACATAATTAATATAAAGTACACTCAGCTCATTTAGCTATTTACCTTCTCCTTGCTCTTATCCTTCTTGCTCTTCTCTTTCTCCTCATCGGCGCTGGTAGACTCATAATGATCGGAGCATATGTGAAGCAGCTGCTGAATTTTAAGCACATTGCCAGTGCCAGCATAGGCACAGATGTCCACCATAGTGGTGGCCATGCTGCGATATGGCTCCTCCAACACCTCCAGTGTCATCATGACGGCCTCTGTGGACTTCTGACGCCCCAAGTAGAGGAGACCCAAGCCCAGCCAAAGGAAACGCGTATAGGTATCCTTCAGATCTGACTTGGTCAAACCCATGATGGTCTGCAGCAAGATCTCAGTAATCTCAGCATTGCACGAGCCAACGCTTATCAATCCCAGTGATAGTGCAGTTATTCCCAGAATCTCAACACTAGCAGCTGTTTTGCCATTGCTGGCAAATATCGTTTTCAGCGTATCGATGACAATGGCCCGATTAGAGCCAGCATAGGCGATGCCCAATCCCAAAATCGCGCCTATGCGCATGCACGTATTCTGGTTTTCAATATAATCGGAGAGCAAAGCGTGTGCCGGATCCACTTCGTTGCGTATGCCGCAGTTGACAATGCCGCAGGCCAGCAAAGCGCCCGACTTAATGTTGTCGTCGGTGGAGTAAAGATATTTATCAATCATAGTCAAGCCACCATCGACATCCCAGAGCAGAATCAGACCCAGGGAGGCTGTGGCCGAGAGCATGCCATGCTCCTTATTCTTATACAACCACTTATTTCCATCCTCTGAGAGCAATTTGTCCACACCGAATCCGGCATTAACAAAACCATTCACAAAGCTGGCAGCCAAATTCTGCTTTGCCGAATCCACTTGAATGGATGCGAAGCGCGAGCGGGAATTATCCAAATGCGATTTGTAAATATCTTCGGGGGTCTTTGGTTCCATAATGTCCAGCTCACGGGCCAAATTCAAGAAATGCTTATTCAAATTTGCATTCGACATAATTTCCATTAAATCATCGTAGTCCGACAGGGACTCATCCAGATCCAGACACACCTGCTGGCGCGCGAGCATAAAGGCAAGTTGTTTCTGCATTGCTGGCTCCTTGGGCTCCTTGAATATGTCGCCAATCTTGCCCATATCGTTTAGCATCAGGGCCAGCCTCATGGCCTGCGTATGCTGGTGGAACTTCCGGGCCAGCTGTAGAGCCGTCTCTAGAATAATCGTGTTGTCCGGCTCGGGTACGTAGGGATAGCAGGACTGCAGATACAAGCAGACACGAGGATAGGCGGACTCATCCACATATTCAGCCAGCAAATGCAAATGATCAATCTCAATGAGCAAATCACAGGCATCTGCCTCTGCATTATGCTCCATGTTGTACGGTATTATCTGCTTAACCAATTGGATGAGCTGAGTACGAAACTCACCCGTCGTGTCGTGATAGTGTGCGGATATTTCGCCAGACAAATGACGCACATATTCGTGACCCCAGTCGCCAATGGCCTGGTTGCGATCGCAGAGGAAGCGATAGGCTAGACAATCTTTACCACTGCCCATGGTCATGGAGAGCACTGAAATTATGTCAGCGCATAGTTGGCGTGAACGCTCGTCGGGCATTTGCTTGTATACCTTCTTCATGGTCTCATAGTGAGGACGCATAAATTTTAGTGGCTTGGGCACCGATGTCATCGAAGTCGTTGAGGCGCGGATCAACTTGGCCATCATTTCGAGTGCTGGCTGATACATTTGCTTGTCTTTTTCCTGCAAACGTAACACCAACATCTCCAACTCTTCCTGCAGCTGTTGATCCTCATCGGATAGCTCGGGCTGCTGCTCTTTTTCATCTTTTTTGGCCTTGCTACTTTCTTGTCCCTTGCCTTTAAGGTCCTTGGCATCGCCAAGAGGCTTTTTCTCCAACTTGGTTTCACCAGTCATGCTGTGTGAGCCCTTTGTTTAATTTTACAAATATAAAAAAGTATTTTTTTTAATAATCCGGCGTTCACTTTTCTCCGTTTAGTCTCTTTTTCTTTCCTTTACTACTCAGCAGAATTACAAAGCGCTTTTTGAGCTGTCAAAAGCATGAATTGCCAACCATTTTTAATTAGTGATGTGAAAACATCGGAAAATCATTGTTTGACAACAACAATATTTACCGATGTTTTCAGTATCAGTATAATGCCACATAACGTTTTACAGCACTGCCTGTAATTTTAAAACACATGTTTTGATTCAATTGTGCGGCATTTTTAGAAGAAAAAAATGTTACGAATTACACAAACTAAAAACACGCTCCTTGATGGTGCAACCATAGCAGATCAACTATATACTACACCGAAAGATTGTGAAGATTTCTTTGAAAGCATTGAGAAGCCCACTCAGGTTGTGGTTGCTCCACGGTCCACCTGTAAGTATCAAAATGTGCAGCTTTTGTGTTTTGTTTACTAGCTTAACCCATTTATAGTTATTCGCGCTGGCGTTTTAACAACAGTTCGCGGATCTGCGTACATGGAATATGGCAACACCAAACTGATGGCAATTGTGGCGCCGCCGCGTGAGTTGGTTCGTTCGAGTGTTCGCCGTGTTAACATGGGCGTCATCAATTGCTATGTAAATTTTGCGGCCTTTGCCACCGGTGATCTGGAGTCAGTCCCAGAGCGTGAGAAGCATTTGGGCAGTATGTTGACAAAGGCACTGGAGCCGCTAGTTTGCCGAAATGAATTTCTCAATTTCCAGCTGGATATTCGGGTGCTTATAATGGACGACGATGGTTGTTTGCTGAGTACCGCAATCAATTGCTGTGGAGTTGCACTCATTGAGTGCGGCATCTCCACATACGATTTGATTACGGCATCCACGGCGTGCATCTATCGAGGCTGTCCGTTTGTTAATCCCAGCGCCAAGATCGAGGAACTATTCTGGCAACATCGAGGCGGCAATGCTTTGCTAGGCAGCAGTGGGAGCACTAATAAAGATGAGTCGGTGCAGGAACATGGGCTACTTATTAATGCCAGCATGGACAACTTTGAGCAGCTGGCGCAATGTCAACAGTGCGGTTACCTTAAGCCCGAGACCTATGTCCGACTGCTTGACTATACGCTGGAAATCAATAAGTCACTGAGGCAGCTAATTCGACGCGTGCTCAGTGAGCGGGTCAAGGAGCAGCACATATTGGATATGCGTGAAAGAGAGGAGGAACGTTTGGAGGATGAACGTCTGGCGATAATAATTGAAAGACTGAAGCAACAGGGACTTCATGAGTTCATACAATCCAACATTAAGGAAGATCCATATGCTAAGAAATAAATGTTTCGTTGCGATGTACATAAAACTGAATGTTTTTAATTTTTAGCTTATAACCTAAACTTTTAACAAATTTTGTGGTCTAAACAGCTGCGTCGTTATATGGTTTATAACTACTACTGCTGATCTGTGGAGGCCTCTAACACGGCGCCTGAGTAGGCCAGATCCCAGTAGTGTTCCACTTGATGCTTTTGAAAGAATTCACGTGCCATTTTCTCCATAGGAAAGATTTTGAACTTGATTTCGCCAAAATGACGACGCTGACTTGTGCCTTCCCAGACGAGCACACAGGAGTTGGGCACATCCTGCCCATCATTTCCATTCACCATGTCCTCCTCCCATTTAATACGGTGCAGCATGAGTCGGCGGTATTTTTTCTGCTGCTTGGGGCCGCCCTCAACGACAACAACACAGCAGTCTCGAAATAGGACAACGCTGCCAGTCATTTGCAATTGCTTCGCATTAGTTTCCACTTTAAACTTTTTGCTTTGGTTATCCTGCAGATCACGAATACGATAGACACTAACATGGACGCCGCAACTGGTATCTTCCTTTAGTTTCCGCTGCTTCTTTTCGCTCTTTTGCTCGCTGGTCAGTTTACGTGCGTTGTTAGCATCCTCGTGAGCCTTCTGACGTTTGGCCATTTGCTCGCGCACATGTGCCTCGATTTTGGTGGGATCCTGCACAGCATCTGTGCCCAGCACACGCATCAGATTCGATATACGCAGCTTTGGCTCCGGTGGCGCCACAAGACCCAAACGTATCTTTTCCTGCTCTTCTTTCCAGGCTTCACGCCGATTCTGACGACGCAACTTTTTGCGTTCCTTTTTGGTAAGAAAGACGGGCAAGTAAACAGGTTTCAATGGCTCATCTGTGAATGGCGATTTCATTAGTGATATAACTCTAATTGTAATTTGGAAGGACCAAATGAGATTGATAGTTTTATAATTTCTACTCACTTGGCGGCTTCATTTGTGTAGGATGCTCTATGAGATTACTAATGGCCGTTTTCCGAATGCTAATTTTGCCGCTTGTCTCATCCAGTGTCTGCATATCCTGGGTGAGTATGACTGAATCCCACCATTCCATAGCAGGCACATCATCGGGCATGTCCTGCTTAGGGGCAATTAATGCCAGCTTGGTGGCCGATGAAATGCCCGTCTTCCGTGCTATTTGAGATATCTCGTTTTGCAATCGCTCCAATTGACTCTTCATACGCATACGCTCCGCGAGCTGCTGAAATTTACCGGGCTCATGGAAGCGCAATGTGCGCTTATTGCGCAATGTTGGTTTCTGAGCAATTCGATCATCAAAATATTTAATGGCATCATCCTGACCAGTGCTGACTGCTCCGCTGTGAGTGCTGCCCTCGCTGCCAGTTGTCTGGCGCTGGAATACTTCGCGCTTCTTGGCACGTATATTCGCCTTGAGCGTGGGTGTCACTGTAGGAATATTAATGGCACGTCCACTCTTATCCACAGTTCGTCCCTCCTCATCTAGAATTAGGGGCTTGGGTCGCTCCTGTTGTTGCTGGGCAGCTGCAGCAGCTGCTGCCGCAACTGCTGTTGGCTGCTGCTGGATAAGATTGGCCAGATTTCCTGTTAGCTTTGCGCGTATTTGTGCCTGCAGTTCAGCAATCTTTTTGGCCTTGTCCGCATCTTCAGGTGTAGGTTTCTTGGACAGCGCTTGGGTGGCCAACGCAACTGGCATTCCAATTTGAGGCACAGACGCCAGCAACGGATCCTTATCACGGAGATTGCTAAGCGCGCGCTTGCGCTCCTCGATCTCGCGCTGCGCATGCGCCATCATCAGTTTAATTTGTGTGGAACTCAGGGAGGAGGCCATCGCATCGATGGGCGGCGCTCCACCATTCTTCTCCTTGACATCAAAACGTGACTTCTTTGGCACCGCATCGACGCTGACGTCGGGGCCAGCAGCGCTGCGTTTGTTGGCTGTTGCTGAAGCTTGTTTCGATTTGTGCTCGTCGGCGTCGGCGCTTTCTGCATCCTTGCGCGTTATAATGGACGACATAATATTCGCAATTAAATTGATCTGGCTAAAGACGTTAAAGTTATTTACCAAAAAACTTTGCACATTCCGCTCTATCCGCAATGCTTTTTATTTTTTTTTTGGTATTTGTCGAATGTTTATCTGCAAAAACGTTTACGTGAAAATTTCTTTGGCAAAAAACAGGGTTGTCCCATTCTTCTTTCCATTGACAGTAAGAGTTGTATGCTCATTTTTGAACTGGTTTAATCGAACTAGTAACTAAAATTAAAGTTCAAATTTTGATGTAATTTCATGGAAAATAATTTAGAAACATAACATAACATTGCATCATGTGACTAATAGAGCGATATTTTTTTAATATTGTTTGAAATTAGACGGGAATTTTTTAAAGCAGCTCCTTACATTAGCTTTTTTATCGATAGCAACTCGTGGCCCTCAGTTTCACCACTACACGCTATATTTTTCGGAGATATATCATAAGTTATCGATTATGGCTCAATCATATGTGTAACATTCATTTATTAAAAATGTATATTTCTGTTTTAATAAGTAAATCATATTTTCATTTTGTTTAGTTTGTTTTTTAATTCACGTTGGGTTTCTTAAATTACTCTAACCATACAACTATCGATATTTTCAATAAATATATCGATAATTTCCCACCTCTATACAGAAGCGTTTCGTATATTTTTTTCTCGTCGTGTCTGTGTGTGCTTAATTATTTGTTGTGAAAATTAGGCGCTATTATTGTGCATAAAACGGTAAAAAGTTGCATTTATCTGCAAGCATGGCATCAGAGGAAGAGAATGACGATAATTTCCAGGGTAAGTGCAATGTTTTTATCTACTTTTTGTTGTGCTGAAAATTTTTCGGCAGAAGCTGAATACCAAACCGTGGTCATGTTTAAGCGAGCAGCAGGCGTCAGCGGCTGCCGACGATGTCTCGTTGCCGCTGCCGCGCTTCGCTCGTTTTCTTATTATTGTTTTCATTTGTTTTTGTTGTGACTATCTGTTAATCTACATTAAAAAATGCTGTTTTATTTGTTATAGCGGCATATTGTTACATATTTTAATGAAATTTTACATATGACGCGCGATATTTCCCATTTTTACGTCTCCGTCATTCTAGGCATATTTATTATTGCATTTTTTTGTGCGGCCTTTCGCAAATGCAGCTCCGTGTCGAAATATTGCCATCTCGCTCCCACACAAAAAGTGTTGGCGAGCACAAAACATATGTTTTACGCTCTTGTTTTGCTCGTTCTTTCAGTTCCATATTAAGGGCGCACAATAGAAACAAAAGTGTCAAAAAATATACAATATACGAATAATTGCAATATGCATAAGAAAATGTAAAAATATACATTTTAATAAGATTTAATGAATCAATTATAAACCATCAGTAGAGGGGTATTTATTGTGACATATGGATATTTCTTTTCTTAATTTATTTTATTATTTAAAAAGTTTTTAAAATAAAAAATAAGTAATTGTTGCGTAGACAATTCAAAATTAAATTTGCTTAGGTAAATTGAAAATTTATATACCTTTTATCATCTTGTCTGAATCGATACCTGTCAGTCACTATAAGACTGACAAGAATCAAGTAATGCTAATTAGAATAGTTAAAATTTTTGAGTTTAATTGTAATTCTCATAAAAATAATCCTGGTTGAAAAACAACCGCTCATGCGATTTAATGTGACGCTAAAAAATACCAGCTATATGGGAACAAGTGTTTGCATTTATTTGCAAATTGGTAATTTTTACATGAAGTACAATATGGTTATCTTGCTCTTTCCCGTGTAATTTTATATGAAGGGAGAATATTTATATGAAAAATCCGTGTGTACACACTGCACTTGCGCGATGTCGGCAACACTCGTTCACTCTCTCAGCTCACAAACGCACTCGCAACCGCAACCGACGATAACGCCGCGTGAAGTGGGCTGCTTTGGAAATTTTACGATTCATTGTTGCTTGGACGTGGCAGCCATGACGTGATTTCTGACTTTGACTAAGAAAATTTTTTGTTAAAATTACATTTGTAAATTATAGAAAATTAACTTAAGGGGAATACGTGCATTATTAAGCCAGCAACAAGAGCTCAATTAAGTGTAAAATAAAAAGTGTGTGAAAACTATTACAATTTATACAAAAAATATTGTGTAAGAAAAAAAGAGAAATAATAATACATACATATACACAAGCATATGCATACGCAAAAAAAAAATTAACGAATTTAAATGTGTTCAATATGGAAAATAATAAATTCAAATTCTGGTTTCCGCTTCTTCCCGTTATGCCGTGTTTTACTTTGTTGATTGATTTCTCCACTTTTGTGTACGTCTCGGGTGGATCGACGTTTAATCTGTCCGTTTAAATGTGACACAGACAGTTGCCACCATTTACATTTGCAGTCGCCGTTCAATATCATTAACGTACCCGTGTATTATATTTTATTTAAGTGTATACATATATACATACATGCATATACATACATATATTTACGTCTGTTTGCGTGCGAGAGTTGACTCGATTGTACGGCAAGAGCAGCAGCTCCCTCGCACTGAGGAAGCTTACGTATGTACATATTTATGTATGTACGAAAGGTATATATGCATGTGTGATTGTATATATGCGAGTGTTATGCACGCGCGCGCTCCAGCAGCACTCGTCCTCGTCGTCGCCCTGTCTCGCTCACGCTCGTGCTCAACCACCAAAAACGTCAACCAAACGCTCTCTCAACGTCGTCGTCTTGTCGCCGACGAAAATCAGCCGCTGTCGATGTCGCCACCACCACCGTCGTCGTTATTTACGCGATTTCAATTAATTTATAAATAATTATACTTCCAATAACAAACACATGCATAAATCGTCAGCAATATCAACTTTTGTGCATGTATAACAATTGCAAAAGTGCTTCAACTTTAAAATAACAAATACCCAACTCACAAAGTAAGCAACAGAGGGTGGTAGAAAAGAGAACAAAATTCGTTGGAATGTTGACAACAACAACAACAAAATAATGCCGGTTCGGACAAACATAAGCAAGGAACAATGTGAATTCAGAATATTCTTTTCCTTCAACCTCTGACGTTTGATATTCTTATTTGTTGTATACGAAATAATCATTAAACCCTGTAAACGGATTTAAGAAAATTGCCATCCAACGCTGTTGCATTTAGCGGCGAGTACGTATGTGTCAAGTTATCCTAGAAATTGTACGTGGGCAGCAATTTTTCATAGCTAATTTTAACATGTGATGTGCGCGCACATCTCGTTGTTGTTTTTGTTCAAGGTTCTATCGATTAACTGACACGCCTATCGATAGTCGGTGTATGCAAATTGTTAAAACTGATGTAGCATTACATCTAATAACAATAACACACTGCATTCGCCGTGACGTCAATTTATATGCTTGCTCTCTTTTCTCTCATTGTGTCGTCTCGCTTATTTCACAACTCGGCATTCCAACAGCTGTCTGCGCGCATCTCTCTGTGGTATGGTATGAGGGGATTGTATATCGTGCAAGGCCCAATTCACGCCAAATATAGCAAAAAAAAAACTTTTTTTTTTTTTTATTTAGACAGGTCTTTTAACAACATTAATTTATATACATTTTGGTTATTTTCATTCATTGTTATAATTTCTTCTGTTTCACTGCTGAACTGTTGGTTGTTAATAAAAAGAAAGTGTTTCACACTATTCATTCTTTTTTTTAAATATAAATGCTTTCATAGATTTTGTAACATCTAACTGATATGTAAACACCTACATATTGATTTGACATTTCATAAATTGCTGAAAAGCTTAAGAGCAAACGGGAGAGTGAGTGACACCCGAGACAAAACGTCCACGCGTCATTTACCACAATAGAAGAGAGAGAGAGAGAAAAAAGAAGATTGTGTGGTGTCTCCCAGTGACTGCAGTCGCGTCCAGTTGTTTTCTGATATTGCTTAGAATATACACTGATACACATAATTAGATGTAAGGAAAAGAGAACAGAGAGCTCTCTCGGCACACAACAAAATGTGAGTGCAAATGCAACTCCATATGCCAGGTGCCAAGTACTTTGACGCATGTAGTTGTTAGTTGTGTACTTTGTGCTTGCGTAGATAAGCACTCAGTGCACTTTTCGCTAAATGTTGCTGAATTAACAGAAAAATGTTATACAAAATTTCCGTTTCTTTTATTGTATACTTTTTTCACCTTCTGATATATTTATTGATTCGGAATAAAAAAACAAGAGATCACGTTTAAGGTCAAAGAGACAAAGGTCATTTAGGTTTGATTTTTGTTTTTGAATATTATAAGATCTCTTAAAATAAGTCAAATTGAAGGCATTTCGATATTCTTTTTATATTGATATCCCTATTTAAAATGCATATCTCGATCACATTGCACACACACGCAGCTTTTTCATTTTTCTTACCTACCTTTGGTCATTTGTGTGCGGAGACACTGATTTTCTATAATTTGTATTTTCGCTCGCTGTTGCTGAGGGCCTCAACAACTAGGCACACGCATTTATACACACACAAGCTTGTACATGTGCATGTGTATATACATATACAAGCAAAGAAAACTTGCATAAATCTGTTGAAAAAATATATAAACTACAACAAAAACATCAGCGTGGCGCCCCAACCAAAATTAAATTCAATATAAGAAGTGAAAGTATTGTGTCTGTGTGAGTGTGAGTGTGTGCGTATATGTGTACACGAGTGTGTATCGGATCTTGCCTTTTGAGCATGCCAGAGAGCAAGAAGCAGCGTTGATACTCATGCATTGTGATGCTGTCACGCTCGCACATATTGCATTTAATTATGCCAAAACAAGAAGCAGCCAACAACAAGTGGTATTATTTTCTGCCCAAGTATTTGAGTGCTTAAAGTTGGCATTTAAAAAGTTTACTTGAGCTAAACGATCTACAATGTAAAAGAAAAACATGTTAAATCGACGGACAACTCGCTAGGTTATGCTGCTGAATAAAAAAATATTACTGGAGGTAAATTGTTTTTTCCAAATCACTTTATTTTGCTGGAATTTCCGTCAAATATTATGTCCACACGTCCGTACCTAGTTCAGAGAACGGCTCTCTCAACGATGCTGTTTCGTAGGGGATATTTCTCATTTGATTTTTTGTTGTATTTAACGCGAATCTTTATAGACATGTGTATGTATATGTGGTGTGTTTTGTGTCAGTTGCTATTGCTCTTAAATTGCTTTTGTGTTGTACAAGTACACAAAAACACAACGAGACAGACAGACGGATATTGTTGTTGCTTGTTGTGCATGCGAATGAAATCGGCAGCGTTTGACATTGATTACCGTAATACCTTGTATATGTATGTATGTTGTGTGTGCTGTGTGCTGTGTCTGTGCTTTGTGGTTGGTTTTTTTTATATTTGTGCAACTGCGCGCTGTTGTCTTTTTCACCTATTTACTGTAATTGTGTTGTTGCTCGATCACGAGCGGAGAAGGAGAAGGCCGTATCGCTTCTCGTTATACGTGTGCACACAAGCAAACATACATTTGTGTGTGTGTATGTATGTAAGTATATGTAACTACAGTGGTGCTTTTTATTTTTGTTGTTTCAGTTGATTTGTCACAAATATTTATGTACATATGTACATTCATATGTGGTGCACATACAGGCGCCCTCAACTCGCTCCAGTGCACAGTGTGACTAAATAACAATTGATATTTTGTAATTGTATACGATTATTACTTATTTGTAAAGAGGGCGTATTTAAATTTCAATCGATATTCGAATATTCAGACATCTTAAATATGTATTGTAATTTCTAGATCTACTTTAATTCATGTATTAATTACATTCTTATTTACACATTAATTGGGCCAAGGAATGAAATAATTCTCTCAGTGTACCTTGTTTTTGCCTCAGCCCTCTATAACAACAACAACAAAAGGTGAAAGTGAAGGTCATTAATATTTGCATATGGGAATATTTACGCATTGAGAGTACGATAATAATACGAATATTCCAAAAACTTCAAATTGATTAAATAAATGTATATGTACATAGTATTATGTATGTAAAATATACTACTTATATATATATAAATATATATATATATATATATATATATATATATATATATATATATATATATATATATATATATATATATATATATATATATATATATATATATATATATATATATATATATGCTGATGCTTCGTTCCCGTGGGCCTGTCTGTTTGACTATTTTGGTCGCCATTGTGGTTTTGCACGCTCTCACCACCTACATAGCAACATACACAAACGTATCTACGTATATTAAAAGCGTTGCTCTCCCTCACAGACACACACATGGCCGCAATTTTGTTACGGGGAGCTTTGTATTGTCGCTGGAAAACATGGTTTGTTGTTGATTTTGTTTTTAAATAGAACTTTGCTTAATTGGTTCAATAGTTTTTTAATTGCTATCGTGTTCTATATAACAGACAATAGTTGTGGACTAAGACAGCCTACTTTTTTATGTGAAAAGTATCAATTTTACCGTTATGGGTGTGTCAAACGCCAATTTATTGTTCGTTATTATCTGCTCATATATATGTACATTTAACAGGCACACGTTTAAATTTTGCGATAAATTTTATCGAGTTCAATATTCAATGCGATGTGTGTGGTGTGTGTGCTATTAGTTCATTAAGACAGTGTTGCAAACTGTCAGTACGACTGCTGTGCGTTGCCAACCAACTGCATAATTGTCGCGCGTCAAAATTAATGGCTGGATGTATGTATGTATGTTTGTTTTTGTTTGTGTGAATGCGAATGAAATATAGAGTCTATGTTTTGATTATTGTAATCCTTCGTTAACTTTGGCACAGTTTAATCTAGCCCACAAAAAAAAAAACAACAGAAAATAAGACCAGCATTAAAATGAACAGCCAAAAACAACAACTAGTTACAAGAGCTGCACTGTCGTCAACGAAGTTTTTGTTTTTGTTGGTATTTTTCGTGGTGCTCGGCCCTCGTTTTTGTAGAGCCACCCGACTTGTTACATATGACTGTTGTTGTTACTGTTGCTGTTTCGCGGTTGGTTTAGTCATACTTACGGCTGCCTATAATGTTTATATAATTTTCGTATCTTTTCCCCACTTGCATACCGAGGTTTCTTATTGGTTGTGCACT